CCCCCCCCCCGCCTTGCCCACCTCGTTCCGGCCGTACTCCACAATGCTGAGCTCGCTGGCGTGGTACACCAGGGCAGCAGAGGGAGAATCGAAGATGAACTTCTCAGTGGCAGCGGCTGCCGCCGACGCCGAAACCGATGCGTCGCTGCCCCCAAAGCCCACCCCCCCGCCCCGGCCACTGCGGGTCTGCCACGGGATTTCGGACAGCTTGAGGGTTTCCAGGTCCCCAAGAAGAAGCGTTTCTGTCGTGTTTGCGACCACATACCTGTATTGCGCACGTGGGTGGATTCGGCATGAAGACACATGGAGGGAGGGGGAGGATAGATTTTCCCGGCGCCCCTGTATGACGTGCCGCCTCAAGGTGCGAACGCAAATGAGCGGGGAGAACGGATGACGAACGTTTGAAAGAGAGAGGGAAGTGAACAAGAAGCAAGAAAGGACAAATAAGGCTCTGTCCACCGGGACTGCTCCTCAAAAGAGGGCGTGAGTTGTCGTGTGTCGTCATCGGTCCACGATTGCCTTCTCACGAAACAACAACGACCACACGACCAACGGCAAGAACAATAACTAGGACATAATCGAACTAAACCATCTCGGCAGCCCCACCACCTGTCTCATTCCCTCTTTCTCTATGTGTGTGATCGTCCCATCCATTCTGGCGCCGGTTTACAGGCCTTTCGGCGTATATACGTGACGTATCAGCCGGGGTCACACAATAGGAAGGTCACACAGGATGCATGTTGTATATACCACGCACACACAAAGGCACACGTTTAAGCTTCGCTACAAGACTATCATCTAACCACTTGGCAAGCTGGGTAGCGCGGTCTTCGATGCTAGGTCCCGAAACACAAAAACACGCACGCACCTGTCCTGGTAGATGTTAACCCTCAAAATCTCGCACGCGAAGTGGCTCTTGAGCACGATACGCGACCCGCTCGACAGGCGCTTCACGATGACCTGGCTGAGACTCACATACGTCAGCTCAAAGCGCCCCTTGTACCTGCAACACAAGCGTCGTGGGGGGAGATACGATTACAACAGTTCATGGGGAGTTGGTTGAGCGTTTCTCGAGAGCTGTGGCAACGGGAGCGGGAAGCATGAGGGGGGGAAGGGCGAGGGTGTGCGGGGGGTATTTTTTCCTTTGCTTGTCAACCTGAACCATTGACCGCGCATCCAACCGTTGAAATTGTTTTGCATGTGCATACATACGAAAAGGCAAGCCGTAGCTTGACTCCGAACGCACCTGGTCAGCGGTCTCTTTAGCTTCCTCTCATGGAACACGGCAACGCTGGAAGAGGGGAAACTGTACAATAGCATTCGCAGACAGGCAAGCACAACGCACAAACACGAAACGTTACGCTTTCTTCTCTCGTCGGTTTTTGTATTTTTCGTTACGTACACACCTCGTCCGTTTGACGCACGCGTCGTAGACGTCTACGGAGCCGCAAAGGGAGCCGACGGCGAGACGGGACCCGTCCGCCCGCCAGCCGAGCGAGGTGACGGTGTACATGTTCTCCACGTTGCGGACGCCGGCTTCTTCCCAGGTCCCCGCCCTGCCTTGCCGATTGTAACCGCCCAAACAAAAGGAGCGTTAGCATTGTAATGCTTTGTTGTAGTGCGTCGTGTGAGAGTGCTTGGTTTGTACCACAAGCCTCCGTCACGGTCTGTTTCGTGTGTCGAACAACCAAGAGAAGTTGCTGTATGTTGTTGCTCTCGCTGCCGAGGGAAACAGGTGACGGGGATTCGGTGAGGGATACATCACGGATAGCAGGGACAAACTATAAAAAAAGGCAGCGCGTTTTCCGCTACGACTACATGCACGCCCGGTATTCGCGTGAAAATAATGAATGCGCGAGGAAGGACACCGATGACGCCCATGTGTATTGGCACATGCGAATTCCCTGTCCCCGCTCTGCCAACGGCCAGCGGATAGACAGCTCGACACATCAACCTCGCCTGATTTAACAACGCTTGGCTGGAGTCCCCTACCACGCAGGATGGCAGATGCAACAGCGCGGAAGAGGCGTTGATCGCCCCGCTAGCCTTAGGCATCAAGTCGCCAGCCCTAGAACTCTTCACTCTCACCTGTGGCTGTGGGCGAAAACGTGAAAGCTGTCGTAGTTGCCCAGCACCACCGCATCCCCCGTAGGGTTGAACGCAGCCGTCGTGAACTCCCTGCAGGACGGGTCCGACGAGTAGTCGAACGTGCGCTCCATACCGCCGTCTGCGTCATAGAAAACCACCTGAACCGCCAACGAAAGACGTCAAGTCGAAACTGAAACTTATCGAGCCCAAAGGTTGAGATATCAAGATGGCACGAGGAAGAACTGAACAACAAACGAATGAAACAGAGGTATGCAAAGCGGGGAGCGGAACGAATGGTTGTTGGCTCCCCATGCCGGCCGCCGTCGTCTGCGCCGTCGAAAAAGCACCCCATAATCGTATGAGAGCGACCGGCTGATGGGTGTTAGCGTACACCCGGTGGTCGTATGTGTAATGGGTTGCACATTTCTTGGGGAGTGGACAGGTGGGGGAGGTATTGGCGTGTCGTGGTCACGTTGATCGATCAGCAGCAGCAACAGACATCAACAGCCCATCTGTGTGTTCGACAAATACGTATAACACAACAACAAATGCGCACGGGATGTTCGTGGTGTCAAATAGCAGACACGCTGTACGTGATGTAGAGGCGGCGAAACAAGCTCGGAGGGCAGTAAAGGCAACGTTTCATAGGGCGGAAGTACCATGAAAAAATAGGAACGACAACCCCACAGATGGTTGAAAAACAATGACGAACGGGGACGAGCAAGGGTAGAACGACGCGATTGATTGCGCATCATACATGCACACAAACCGGAGACTAGCCTAACCTACCCCCAGGACACCCCCTCACGGGCCCCTCACGGGGTTCCAGACCATGGGCTTTTCTAAGCGTTTCAGCCGTTTCCAGCCGCACTGAGACTGACGTGTGTTCGTCGGTCGGTCGGTTAGCGCAGTACAGTATGACACACATATATCCCGGTCGCCCCGGTGGTCTAGTGGGTAACCTCGCAGCCTGCTAAGGGCCAGGTCATGGGTCCGAGTGCCGACAGAGTGAGTTTTTTCTCGCTAATTAAATCCAAGTCTCCGTTGGAAGCGACGCGCTGCAAAGCTCGTTGTTAGTAAACTTGATCGACTTCATAAGTCGCGAGGGAAGGGATTGCTGTACCCTTCTCGCGATGAAAAAATCTCAGGCAGGAACCACAGGAGGGGGTCCAACCCCCCCCTCCTATGTGACCCCGGTTGGGTCGTCTAGTTGGTAGAAGTGGAGGATAGGGGCCAGAGGGGCAGACGACAGAGTCCAATGATGGGAGACAAAACACACACACACACACACACACACACACACCTGCCCGTCGTTCCCCGCAGCGACAATGCTGAGGCCCCAGCTTAGCGCGAATGGCACAGAAGGGTGTATGACGAGCTTCGTGTGGGATGGAGCACCTGCGTCCACCGTGCATGCATCCATAAGTGAGTGACATTTTTTTTTGAAAAACGCGAAAGGTAGAACCCAAAGTTTGATAAAAGCACAGCGAACCCCCAATCTGATACCGACTCCATGGAACGATGTATCCTGTTTCGACGTTGTTGGCTGTGAGTTTGTTTTGTTGACTTTCGGCCTTGTCTGTGCAAGAGGGGTGGAACACAGCAGTACGACAGGTCCTGTTTCGTGAAACGTCCATCATCGAGGGGGAGCGAAGACATCTGACCGGAAACAAGCATCATGTTGATTTCTGCCGAAAACAAAGCTTGGCAGACTACGTAACTAACCAGGCGCACGCACAGGTGTTTTTCCGACAGGGATTGAGAAAAACGCACCGTTGTCGTCGAAGAGAAACCTGTAGAGGGTCCCGTCGGCGTGGGCGGACACCACCCCGTTGCCGTCGGGGCTCGTCGCCAGCGCCGCGCAGAAGCTGTCCACGTTGTACAGCGTCGCGGGCCTGTTGGACTTGAGCTGCCCGATCTTCACCTTCCCCTCCGCCAGCCCGAAGACGACCTCATTGGGCCTCGCCTCCGGCCACGACATGCACGTGATCGGGGACGGCTGCGGGAACTTGTTGCAGATGCTCTTGCTCTGCTTAGTTTGGAGCGGGATAGGAGCGAGGTGTGGTGCGCGGGGTGGGTGCACGGGGTGCGTTCAAGGAGAGGTCGAAAGGGTGGAGTGAGTCAAGGCGCCACAGAAGAAGATCTCATCCGAGGGGAGACACTTGCAACGACGACGACGACAGCGACAACGCAGACGGAATTTTTCCTTAGGTGCCGGTTTTCAGCAACAGCGGATCACAGCTGCAGTAGTAGCCCATGGAAGACCATGCAAAGACATTTCAAACGTATTCCGCATGCTTTGGAGCCCTGCAGAGGGTGGGCGCAACCTCTTTTCGCTCCACAATACCCCAGACGAGACGGGCGAATACAGACAGCACCAAGTGGTGATGCACGCTTCTCATTATGACACAGGGGCAGACAGACGTGTACCTCGCCCCACTCCAGTCCGAGCTTGTAGACGAAAACGATGGAGTCGCTCTGCGCGACGGCGAGCCTCGCGCTGTCGGGACTGAAGCACAGGTCTCTGACAATGTAGTTCTTCGGGCCCTTTTCAGCGGGCTTGGTGGAGAACCTGTCTCGCTTCTCCCCGTTCTCGTCGTACAGAGCAACCACTCGGTCGGCCTTGTATCGGAGAGGGCGAAGGGGGCCACGGGCAAGCGGGGGGGGCGGGGGGGTAAGAGGTGCTGGCTGGCGTATTACTTACCATGATGTTGTTGACCGAGACTTCCTTTCGTCTGAAACAGACAACCGTGCCTATTCTTTGGAAACGTCAGCCACTTCTTCCTAGGTTGGAGGGGAGAGAGGCCCGACAACATGCGATCGGTATCACCACCTGACCCAAGAGGGATCGACTCGAGATCCCTTTTCTCTGGGCGCCTGACGGTACGGTTCGCACCCAGTGTTCGTGTGGGTCAGTGCCCACGTCCCGTACTGCTGTCACCTCACGTGCGTTCAACAGCAGTAGTGCCTTGTTCCCGTGAACATGTTGGAGGGCATGATTGTGTGAGGATTGTTTTCACGAACAACAGGCTGACCTCACTCACGCCGCCCAGCATCTTCCTCAGGGAATCTGTCAACAAACCAACGTGTTGCAAGTATTTGGCACCGATCTACGCCTTGGTCTACAGTATTGCTAAATGGCACTTTGTACTCAAGTAGTAGAAGCATGCAGCAGTTGTCCATGCACCATGCAGTACACCGTCGGTAGAGTCAAAACAAAAGCCAAGCGGTACCGAGTACAACATTGAAATGTACACTGGTGCACCGCGCGATGGTTGTTAGCCTTTCGTCTATCGTCTCATCCACATTTTACCGCCAGCGAGACCCCAACCACGATATCACTCACCGTGCACACCGCCAGCTTGCGGTTGTTCGGTGCCCACGCCACAGCCATGACCTTCGACATCTTGGCACCATCACCGCCCTCGCCCGTCGCAGGCTGTATGATCGTTTTCAGATGCCGCAGCTGCATGGTGGAAGATCGGATCTGCCTTTCAAACCTCCCGCTCAGTTATTGTATCTTGCTTATCCTCTCCTCTACGAGCAAATACCTCCCTGGATAGAGATGCAATGCCCTTTGACTTGCTTCCACCCTTTCCGACCCTCCGAGCACGATGGATCGCGTTGTTCAACAGCAACGACAGCTGTCCGCCGTAGGATCCGAAAACAGCAAAACAGCTATGGTACGTGCGTCTGCTGTGCTGCTCTCCTCTTGCAGCCGGTCCGTCCGCAAGAGGAAATCCAACTTTCCGCAGGTGCTCTTCCTCCCTTTCGGTCCGGCTCTGTCCTTGTCTCACATTCGCCCTGCCCGATACGCACACACACACCGATAAACACGAGTTTTGTATGTAACGGTTTTACAGCAGGCAGCACACCAACCCACTACAACTGCACGCAAGAGCAGGATCTCTGGAAGCTAAGATCCTCTCCGCCGAGGCGATCTCCGGGCAAGCGGTGTTCACCGATGGGATACGAGCACCAACCACGCTTGCAAAAAAGGCTAGCACTCCGCTCAGAAGATGCCTGTCGCCCCATCGAGAGAGGGAGCAACCACTGCCTGCTGCTGTACAGGCTCGACAACACAGGACGAAGAACAAGGGGGTTCACGAATGGAACATTTAAGTGCAACCCCTACCCGCCTCGCACCGTTGACTAGAAATTCCACTCTTTGGTACCCCTCGCGGTCACATCATTGTTTCATCGTATCGTTCCACTAGTCTAATTATTTATTTATTTTATTTTATTTGTTTCTGATTATATTTTGTTTTCTTGTATTTTATCGCTCTGCTGACCCTTGGGGTCCATTTTATTTTGGTATACCTTTTCTAGGTACGTTAGCCTGTGACCACGGAAATTGGCCGAGTCAATTGATGGATTAGTACGGAGAGATTGAGACAGAAGGAGGTACTGGAAAGAGAGACCGGGATGGTTTTTGATGTGAAGACAACAACAACAACAACAACATCGTCTGTTGTTCTCTATGCATGCCAAAATGTGTCAGTGATTTTACTCTTTTGCAAGGGGGATGCGTGCAATATGCCACCTTTAATGTAGCTCGTTACGTAACCTATATATAGTGGGTCATTTATTTACCAATGTGGTTCCCTTGTATCAAAACAAGCGGGAAGCGCATCCAGAGGCCCAGCGCGATGATGATCGATATTTGGGTTAAAATAGTCGCGTGACCTGAGAGAGTTTTGTGATAGACCTATCGAAAACATGTCATCCTCTTTCTCTTCCTCTTGAATTGTTTGTTCTTTCGTGCACTACTGTCCGTAACTGACAATAAGTTTGTGCCAAGTTGTGTTGGTACAGGGACACGATATTTGTTTGGGTGTTCCTGACGGAGAGTGTTGTTTTTGTCTTCACATTAAAAACCGTTCCGGTCTCCACTCGGCACCTCCTAATGTCCGTACTGGCCCAACTGACGCGGACGCCTTCCGTGGTCACAAGCCAACTCAACTATGTTTCAACAAATCTATCACGTCCTAACATGTTCTGTGCAGCGCTTTCCGTGTGCTCCGACCGTCCAAGTAAGGTCAAAACTGTACATCATTAACTCGATATTTAGTCACCACATAAATCCTTTATGCAATCATTGCCGATGGTGCCAGCTCTCTCTCTCCCACCCCCGTGTCCGAGAAGAGAAAAGGACAATCACCGTATGGAACGTCCCAGGAGACGGGGAATCAAACGTCAACCTTGTTCGCCTGCAGGTCCAATAGCCAAATGCTCTTTCATACAGCGACACTAGTGAATATATAGCACCCGCAACAACAGCAAAATCTCAATGCATACGATCCACCTCAAAATTTCGATGTACATTCCCTCGGCTAAACGCAACACGGAGTCTGGCCTAAACGGGACAGAATAGCAAACGGAGAGGGAAGAACAAGGACGGGTTGACCCTCCGACTCTCCGCCTATCCCAAACGAGTTAACCACCCGACTCCGAACCATATATGCATACCCAACGACCGCAGCAGCAGTAGCGGCGGGATCGGTAAGTACCCTCCTTGCAAGTGATACACCCCTGCGCTCCGCTCCGCTCCGCTCCGCACAGAAGTGGACGAAACGCACGCATACGTCCATCCCCTCCATACGCGACCATTGAGCTGTGTCGGACAATACCCACGGGAATAACACTAACGAGTCAGTGTGCATACGTCCATGCCCCCCTTCCGAGGCTGTTGGGCTGTGTCGGGGAATACTCACGGGAACTTCCACCGACAGAGTCAGTCCTACGTTGCAAGCCGAAAAGGGCAAGACGTCGACGTCGCGAAGACGACAGCAACAACAACCACCACGACAACGACAACAACAACGACAACTAAAAAGTACACACCCATCACACCAGCCAACCGATGCATGCAACAAGGCTGCACGAAAGCCGCCTCTTGTCAACGAACGGCGGCAGACAAAACGACAACGACTTAGAAAAATAAATAATCTAAACAAAAGAGTGCAGCCACAACCTCTCTCTGCCTTTGCGCCCATCTGGGGTGCTCGATAGGCCACACGAAACCTGGCTTCACCCCCGAGCACAAGCAATGGTTTCCGAGAACGACAACTTACACCAAAACACGGCTGGACAGGGCTCCACCGTAGTAGAGCCGAGAGGGATCATACTAGCCAAACACATGAACGCGCAGCACCTGTTCGTCACCAAGGTGGAAATTCCCATAACAAGCGATTTCCGCGTCCCGCACATTTCCGTCACCAGCAACAACCAGCTGACCGACGGAAAAGGACAAGCCCACCAAAACCGAAAATATTGGGACTATCATATCAACCATCGCAGGTTGTCTCAATAGTAACCCCCTCCTCCTCCTCCTCCCCTGCCCCTACCCCCAACCCCGCCACCCCGGCCCCTTCCACCACCCCTTCCCCTGCCGCCGCCGCCGCCGCCGCTGCCGCCCCGGCCACCACCCCGACCCCCCCCGTTTCGACCGCCCCCGCTGGGGGGACTGCGGTCTTCGACGATTCCAGGCACCTGCCGGCGCAACAGCGGCAACGGAGGCGGCAGGGCAGCAACAGCAGTAGCAGCAAGCGGGTTGCGGTCAAGATACAGGGAGGGCGGTACACGTGGGAAGAACAATCAAAAGTGATGGCCACAAAGAACACACGGTTACGGTTTTGGGTCGGCGTTTTTAATAGTGCGCATAGAAGTTCGGCTAGCAGCAACGATGATGGTATGCAACGAAGAATCTAATAGTTGTGGAAGCAGGCAAAAGCTTCTTATGGTAGCATCGGCTTGGAATTTTCACAAGCACCGTGGACACCACGCCACAGAGCAGGTCGCACTCGGACGGTAACAACTTTACCGCAAAAACGGGATGGCCGCATAGTTTCTAAGGAACAAGTAACGAGGAATCCCGAAGAAAAAAAAAAGCGCACAAACAGAAAAAAAAAAAGTGCGAAAAAACATTCGCATGTATGCGACACTGCTGTTTCTTTTTGTCGCACTCCCATCCGAGGTCGTCGGAAAAAAAAAAGACTGGAACCCTCGCTTAAAAACCTCCCAAAACCCTACGCCCTAACCTACGCACTTGGTTTGACGGGAAACTTCGTCTGCGTTGAAGTGGTTCTACACGAGCGTGTTCTGAGAACCTCCTCTGCCCCCCCGCACGTTCTTCGCTCACCCCGCGGAGCCCCATCTTCCCGAGCGTCTTGGCCTGGATCCCCGGGACCTCTTGTTGGCGGCAGATGGTGGTGATCCAGTAGTTGGCCTGCGCGACGAGGTCTGCCTTGCTCCACCCGATGCGCCGCAGGTGTCCGTTGTAGAACCCAAGCCAAGCCTTTCGCAGCGATGAGAGAAGAACGCAAGGGCGGTTTCCCGGTCTCGTTTGGTATGGTTTGTAGGGTTGCGATGCACAGGAGATGGCGTCAAAGTACGGACGAACGCACACAGGCGGTGTAATCCTTACTGCGGTCCCCAAAACCGAGACGAAAAAAACAACACCCAACCTAAACATGCCGGTTGGTCGAAATGAAAAACCATCGATTGCTCCACGCGACAACCAAGGCGGCGCGACACCAGACGGATACGTGCAACGCAAAAAAAAAAAAAGCTCAAAACGACAAACTTCCACAACATCTTTTTCGGCAGCGACAGCCTCTTGTATGTGGAGCAATCAAGCTTGAAAAATTGACCGCACACCCGCGCGTTCACCCGCACGTTTTCGGTGGTTGCTTTTTCTGGTACTGCTGCTGGTGGTCGTGGGTCTGTTCGTCTGGTTGCGGGAGTGCGTTGGAATCGTCAAACGCGAAGGACGCACGCATCGGGCTTCGCGCGAGAATTTCGCTCGAGAGCCGTTGCTACAAGCCACCACCACCACCATACAACAACTGAAACCAACAAGAGGAAGCGGAGGAGGAAGATGAAAAGAAGCGCAACGTCGAAAACAGATGATTGATGACGGTGGTGTGTATGTTATTCCAGGGGACTTCATCTAGGTGAGGCAGGACCTTTAGCATCTGACGTCGTCGGGCAACGTCAGTTGCGGAAGGTGACCAAGTGCCCTGGAACAACACACACCATCGCCACAAGGAGACCCAGCGCCAACGAATAAACAACACACACACACACACACACGTCTGTCGGTAGGATCCTTGCCCTCTGATGAAAAGTGTTGGTGTTTTTCATCCCGCTACAAGACTGTCGCTTATTCATTCTCATTGGTCACCCGACTATTATAGCACGGTCGATGCTAAAATTAAGAAAACACACACACACGCACTCCCCCATGACGCCCCCTCACGGGATCGCAGTTCATGGCATCTACCAAGTGTTTTGTGTTTTCAACTCACCGAGACTGACGTGGTTGTCATTGGTCAGCCGGTTAGCGCGGTCGATACTAATAACAAAAGACACATTCTTTTTGTGTTTTCAACCGCACTGAGACTGACGTCTTTTCATTGGTCCGCCGGTTAGCGCGGTTCATGCAAACAATAATTACATACACACCTGGTAGGCGCAGACGACCGAAAGGCGGGCCATCTTGTCGTAGGCCTCGTTCACGGCGGGGGTGATCTGGGCCACCGACGCCTTGGGCAGGGGGTCTCGTCTCTGCATGGGCAAGTCTCTCACATCCGACAGGAACATCTGACAAATAAAAAAAAGACAAGAAAAAGACAAGACAAGACAGAGAATTGAAATAAAAAAAAGCGTGGCGAAAAACAAAGAGGATACCTGGTGTGGGATGCGGAATCACAAGAATGAATGATACGTCCATGTCCCGCAACGGAGTACGACCGTAGAGAGAAAGATGAATCACTGCGTCAGTCCGGGAACACGCTTCGTCCTAGAGGCATGATTCTACCAACCTACGCCTTCGGCGCCAACATACAACAACAATACCGGTGCGAACAAAAAACGAAGGCAATCTACCCCACCACGCAACCGGGCAAGAAGATAACCTCGCCTCGCCGGAGATTAGATTTAATAAACAGGAAGAGAGGACACCGAAAAGGTATTGTAGGAACGTACCGACTCGAAGTCGCACAAGAGCAGCACGCCATGACCAGCCTTGCCGGCGCGGGCGGTACGCCCTAGGCGGTGAATGTACTGAGCCTTGTCGGACGGCAGCCCGACCTGACGAAGAGGCGAAAAACACACACGGGATGTACGCATCGACGGTGACACCAAGAGACAAGCGCGTTCACATGAGAAAAAACGACTAAATGCTTCGAAAAAACAAGCGGAGATTGGAGTAGAATAAAGCATCGAAACACGCACGAGGAGACAAGAGACAAAAATACGTGGGTTGTTGGTTTGTCGGTCATAAGGCCCATATGGCCTCTCGCGAAAGGCGCTCAACGGGGGCAGGACGAAGACACACATGCTCTTTCTGCCCAATATCGCGCAAAATCTTCGTACACCAGGCCACATCAGAAAAACGAAAAAACGGACCCGCGTGGTCTCCATTTCTTTTGACTGGTAGGAAATCGCAAGTAGAGCAATCTTCTTTTTGGGCGCTGTATTTTGCAAAAGAAGAAACAAAAACACACAGCAAGCACGACACACTTTGTCCCTTCCGGCAGACTACGGTACGTTTAATGGATCGAAAAAAAAATGCTCATCAACGGCCGACGCACGATAGGCCCAGTCACAACATCGCACAAGAACTAAATGCCAAAACAAGCAAGCAGGTCTCGATTGCCAAGACAGCAGCGCTTGCTGCTGCCCCGCTGCCCCATCTGCTGCATGTCAAAACCTTCACCTGTATGACGGCAGACACGTCGGGGTAGTCCATGCCACGGGCTGAGACGTCGCTGGTGAACATGACGAGCCCTTGGCCATTGCGGAACAACTCGCTGACCTTGTTGCGGTGCCCCTGGCTCTTCCTGGAGTGGATCTCTAGCACCGGGAAGCCCTGGTTCGAAGGCATTTCGTTGAAAACGGACAGCAGCAGCAGCAGCAGCAGCAGCAGGGTCAAGGTAGACAAGGGCGAACAACTTATGGATGACTTGTGTGCGCATCATAGGACCGCGCCCAGGCGAAGTAGATGCACACGTGTGGTATGAATGTGTGCCACGCACATCTAGCTCACCCTTGGTTTTGGATGTGATCCAAGGTAGTCGTGCCAGCGCTCTGTTGTTGTTGTTGTTGGCGTCAAACAGTTCTTCAACAATAGCGGTTGTTGGACTATTGGGGAGTCGTAAGTCGCACCGTACTTCTCAGCATGGCATTTATCGACGCATGCGGCGACGTGACAACAACAGTACTCCACCCACCACGACCACCACGGCCACCAAAGAGGCGGTATTTCGTAAAACACAAACGAGGCGGTATTCCGTTCACATTGCTGTGTTACTTGGTGCAGTGGACACTGCTGTTGCTGTAGCACGGGAATACGCAGCTACCGCCAGGTCCGTGTAGTCGTCAAAGGACAACGGTTGGCCACGCCAACAGCAGCCCGTGCGATAACCCATCAGCCCCGACGGCTAAGCGCTCAACGGTGCCGGTCCCATGTGAAAAAAAACAACAACGACGACCTTCCCACAAAATCAGAGCAAGCGAAGCTAATCATTGCCGGCCATTGGTTGCCCCGACTCGGGAGGCCGGCCGGCCGGCGTCGCTCGCTCGGCTCACCATGAGGTTGCAGAGCTCGGCGTAGAACTGCGTGAGGCGGGCCGTGGTGAAGAACACGATGATCTTGTGCCCGCGAGGGTCGGCCGCCATGTTCTCGCGGAGCAGCTGGCACAGCTCCTCCACCTGGGACGCACACACAAACAAAATCAACAACAACGACAACGATAATAACAGCAGTACACAAAAAATTGCAACGTAGCGTCCATGTACCTGCTGGTCCTGTCCGCACACAGTGTACTGCTGCGGCACGTGCTGGTGCGTGCTCTCCTCCTCCCCGACGCAGTCCACGAACTCGTACCTCTCCTTCAGGGCGAGCTGCGCGATCTTGCGCACGTCGCCGGGCATTGTCGCCGAGAAGAGCAGCGTCTGCCGGTCGCGGCTGTGCGGCATGTAGCGCAGGATGGCCTCGATGGCGGGCCGAAAGCCCATCTCCAGGAGCTATTCATTGCACGACGAACGAGAGGGGCAAAACAAAATAAAAACGCGCGCGGGTGGGGCATTACTTGCCAAAGCAGCAAACGGACAGCCGGTCGGCGAAAGGGCGGGTGCTGTGTTTGTTTCTCCGCCTGATCGGTCGCCGCTCACAGCTGGCTACACCACGGCGCCCCCGAGCCTCGCAGCCTCGTCAAGGAGGAGTATCATGAAAGTATTAAGTATTTACTTGTTGTGCCGCCCATGTACGAGGCCACATCCTCGGTGTTCGCCGGCGTACTCCTGCCAAAAACTCAAAAAGACCCCCGGTCCCCCGCCCCGCCCCCAAAAAACACAAGGCGCAATCAAAGTGGTCGAACATAAAAAATGGGTCTCGAACCGCAACAAAACGCAAGCCAGAGGTGGTACAGTGGTTGTGACCCGAGTCCACCTTCCGGATCAACTTCTCGGGAAGATTCACCTCACGGTATCATCCATCCGCCCTTTCAAGGCACGCCAAGGGGGGGGGGGGGGGG